TCTCAGTTCAGCCCTCTTAATTCCATACTATCACTGGTTGGGCACGTACCAGTAGGTTACGTAGTAGCCATATATTTCCTTAGTCAGTATTTGAGCTTCTTACTACAGATTAAGTATTAACCTTAAGCCACAATAAACATGAACTACAAAGTGATAACTGGGCTCAACTGGTTTAACAGTATGGTCAATGCCTACTAAAGCAAGGCTTAGGCAGAGAAAAAAAAAAAAAAAAAAAAACATGGAAGAGGTAAACTCCCATCACCAAACATATAGTAGATTCCCATCCAAACAACATCTATTTTGCATTTTTCTATCAACAGCCATTTATGCTGTCAGCATAATGCAAATTGGCACTGTGGCTTACAAGTGTACTGTAACCTTCTTAGCATCTTTAGTGTCTGCTACTGTAACAAAGCATGTTGTTGGTTTCTGCAACGTCATCGCCAGACCAGAACTTTCTCCATTCTCGTCATGGGTTCATCTAATGCTACTATTCATTCAGTCAATCTCTTAGTCAGGAACAGGCAGAAAACTGCTGGCTCCTTCCCTACAGTAACCTGCGTCTAGTTGGTTCAGTTCCGCGACAATAGCGCTGGGTGCAGATTAGCTGCCTGTGACTGTGTGACATGGTCTGACACAGCAGCGGGAGGTGGAGGTCACAGGGTCTTCGGTAAACTGGAAACACAAAAGAGTCTGCTGCTGATGCTGCCCGGATGTCATGTTACAAGGGCACAATGGGTCCGAAACACCAAGCGGAGAGCAGATAAAGCTCGGCATTGGTATTCCACTCAGGGAGGGTGGAGGGATGTGGTGTGGGAAACCTACCCTCTGATTGTGAACAACTGAATAAATCAGGATTACTGAAGGCCAAGTACTGCCTCAACAGTCACTCCAGGGGAAAAAAAGGATCCTTGAAGTAAATCTGAAAATGCAAACTCACCTTGAAAGGTGAAAAATAAAGCAAAAACATGACATACAACATACCTGGATCATCCGATACAGCCAATTTGGGGTGAATTGATAAAAACCCATATACACTGGAATTGATGCCAGGTATCATGAGGGATACTGTGGTCGGTGATGACAGATGAAGCATGAAATACCCCTCCCAACAACTCCCCACAGTCTCCAATATAATTCACTGGTGGCCATGCTTGACAGAACTGCTATCCAATCAGTTTCAGACCTCCCAGCAGAAAGTGAAAGGTTGAGATAGTGTGAGAGACCCAGGTTCAATCCCCCACTGTGACCCATGTACCAATGTATCCCTGAGCAAGACACTTAACTCCTAGTTTCTCCAGAGGCGTGCGACCTCTGACATGTATAGCAATTGGATAAAGGCGTCAGGCAGAAAGATGAAAGATGATCACTTCATGAGGAAAATAGCCTCAGCAGTGACTAAAGAAGTGCCCCTAAAAAGATCTAAACAGTGAAAGTTAGGTTCCCAATATTTGAGAGAAAGTCTCAAACTCTTCTCCTTGATGCTAAGAACCATTTCTTTGCCTACATCTTTTAGCAGGGTACCTATACATTTTTAATTATTCCATTCAATTGCTTTCATAACATATTAATTTTCTGTTGGATCACTTAGATGACAAGCAAGGGAAGCTTAATAATAAATAACAGCCTTGTTGAGAAGGAAAAAACCTGACAGTCTTTTAAACATGCATCCCTTTTGTGACAACAATGAAAATGATTTAAAAACACACACACACACACACACACACACACACACACCCCTTATGTTCTTCAGGTTTCTTCTTGACTAAATGTAAACTGTTGTACAAATGATTCTACAGATTTCCTTTTGTCCCATTCTCTGCATTAAAATCCATTGTGTTAGCATTCAAAATAGGCTTAGTCTTTTCTAATCTACATGTGCTCAAATTCCTGCAGCTTACTGCTCAAAAGCATTTGTAAAGTGAGTAGACCAATGAGGAATACATGCAAATAACAGCACAAGTCCTACACAGTATGTGCAGTCAACCCCACACAACTAGGCTGAATGTAAAGCCCTTTGAAATGATACGCTCTTACACTCTTGTTCAAGAACACCATGTTCCAAAATTAAAGCAACACATACAAGAGCAAGACGGAATAGCCAGGGGCAAAAGCTACGCAGGTCACTGGATAATAACACTAACTTAAAGTTTAGGACAACAGTTTGGCAAGAACTGAACAACGAACAAGATGTCTCTTGCCACTCAGGGCTTTAAGTTTGCAATGAAGACGAGTGAAAAAGTAGGATACACACAAAAAAATACAATGTCAGTGTAAACCAACACTAAATGCCTTATCCATGACTCTGTTTCATTAAATAGTACAAAGAGTTCAGGCTAGTGGCATGCAAACAAAAAGACTGTACATCTGGTGCAAAAACCAGGCTGACAGCAGTCGGCCTGGCTTAGGACAAAGCTTAAAACCAGTGATACTACATGCTGAGGTCATTCTGACATTCATTTTCATGTGTTCCCTAATGGCCTCCGCTCTAGATTCTCAGCTCTCCGGTGGCTGCAGCAAATTAATGCGTGAGGGCTCACAGTGTCAGCCCATCAGAAAGAAGCTGCTCCTGTCTAAAAGACAGTGTGAGTTTCAGGTTTTGGTTACACCAAGTGAAGACGCAGGAGTAGAGAGCACAGAGGAGGTTGTTACTGCTAGTTTCTCTCTGGGGACACAAACAGAAGGAAGGAAGGAAGGAAGTGTTTCCCATACCAGCAACCTGGAGCCCTTCTTAACCCTTCTCAAACTTTTTCTGTCACCCTCCCTTCAGAAGCCAAAAAAAATTCCTGCCCCTGCCCCCCACCCAAGCTGAAGTGGATTTCATTCAATCATTAACAATACAGGCAATTGAAATAAACAAGTTTCATCTTAGCAAAATAGCCTTGCTAGCATTAGAGCACTTTAGTTTGTTTACGTCACCACATGAATCATATTCATGCAACTTTAGGTCCGCTCAACATCCAAGACCCTCCTGAAGTGGCTCCACAGCACCCCACAGGGGCCTGCCCCACAGTTTGAGAACCACTGCTTTAATCTGACAAGACAGCCTTTCCAGCAGTTAACCATTGTGCTATGTAAAACAGTAAATCTCAATTCTGTAGACCTACATTTAAACACACATAGCTGTTCCTCAACACTTGCTGACCACTGCTCACCCATAGTATCATAAAACACACAGGTCATTGAATGGAATTGAGCAGGTGGCGTACAACAAACTTGCTCTTGCCTGTCAGTCAAGTAGCTCAAGAAGGAGAGGTGGTGTGCTACTACCGCAAGGCTGTGTGTGCTGCAATCCTCGCTCTGTCTGCTTCCCCACTCTACCGTGGCTGCCACAGCTTACACATAAGTGGAGTCGAGTGGGGGGAGCATAAACTTGCCCAAACAAGCACTGTTGCTAGCTAGCAGACGTAACAAAATGCCCTAGGCAACAGGCCAAAAAACAAGAGAACCGTAGCTTGAAAAGAACTAGCTGCAGCCTCCTTGTTGGTGTGTATTCACATATTGCAGCCACATGCAGTTTCAAAAGGTAAGGGCCACTGATATTAGAACTCTAATATGATGGTATGAGGTAGGGTGTAAAATGAAATGTATAATCAATATGGCATGGCATGGCCATTTTAACAAAAGTAACTCAATTTAAATTAAAACTTAAAAGATCAAACTACCAACGCTGTCAAACTTTTCCTTTTTAACCACTGGGACAACTTCCACTTGTTTTTGGTTTGTTTTGACCAGCACAGTTCTAGCCCCTAAATTGTACTGCCATCCCATCAGCTGTTAGAAGTCCCGCCCTCTTGTGGTTTCCGGCTAGTAACAGGCTACCCAATCATTAAGCTGGTTTCCACTGTGCTGGGACAAAAACAAAACTACTTGTTCATACCGCTCCTCTAGAACATTGTATGGTCTGGAAATATGTTGTTAGGGTTCTTTTTTAGAGCTCCCCCTGTCAGCCCTAAGTGACGCTGAACAAATAAACCAGCAGTACAAAAGTAAACATGGTTACAACGATTTGGAAAACAGAACACACTAGATGAGAGGCCTACCTAAAAGTTAGCGTTCCACAGTGAAAGGACTGTAGGCCCATGACACCTGCTGTCCCACTGAACAGCAGCCATGCTCAGTCCCAATTCCAACATTCATAAGATTACAAATGACAACCACTCTAAAACGGTACATGGTAGGCTCCCATATATTTGCCTGCAGACACTGAAGTACAGTGAGACACAGATCAGGTGGCCATTTTGATGTTGAAATTAACCAGCAGACTAGCCAGCCAGCTCAGTGGCGTTGCAAGGTAACATTGCAAGTGGCAAAATCAATAACACAATTAGAAAACCCTTAGTAGGGCTTCAGAGCAAAGCCAATAAGAGCCAGAATGCTATCCATGCTGACATAACATCAACATTTTTACGAGGGTAGAACAAAAGACAGCAGCATTTTCAGTTGACGTTAGCTTTACGTTATGTAAACAAGCTCCTGTGTCAACGTGTAAAAGGGGCAGTTTAACTTAACTCCCCAAACAACAACAGGCTGGACAAAGAAACCAAATGACCTTAAGGTGTTTATAGTCTACCGCTGCCAGCTCTTGGTAGTGCAACAAGATGAAACACATTCCTGAAAAGGAGAACAACGTTAGCGTCCGCTCGGCTGTTGCAGTAACGTTCATTTTTTAAATAAAGACATCAAGCTAGACAGCAAACGCCAACGGTGATGTTACAAATATACAGTTGGAAAAGGACATGGGACCGTTCTGGTTAGCTGATACAGCTGTCCCGATAAGAGACTGGAGGTTCGCAGGACATAAATAGCAAACACTTGGCTTTGCTAGCAAAATGTTGTTTACACAAAAAACACCAGTCATTCACAATGAAAAAATCGTTCTGCTATGGGTTACCAAGCCATAAAAGCAGCTTCAAGACATATGGTTTTCTCACATCACATTCCACATAAGCTATATCAGGACAGCGATTGCGAGTCTTGTTTATGTTCAGAAAGGATACAGTTTCACCACATCGGTATCCATTCGCCTTTTACCCGGACTTGGAGACGACATTTTTGCTATTTCCACCGCAGAACACCAGTAAGTAAACTGAAAGCTAGCCCCCGAAACGCTAGACAGTCTAGCAAACGGTACTATCCGAAAGTTAACATTTGCGTTCAGAAATGTTCACCGCAAAACGTCTTCACGGTTCAATGTCTCTCTGTCCTAATGAGTAACTAAGCTAACGTTAGACCTCTGCCGTTCACTGCCTCTCTGCGTTCTGACAAGCTACGATCACTCCGCGGACAACGTCACATGTGTGCGACAAAACGTCAAAATAAATGGCTGTCTTTGTAGTTTTATTTAGAACAGCTTTGCCTTTGTATTTTGTGAAAGTGGCATTTCACACAAATTGCATTATTGTAGTAGTGCCAAATGTAAGAATAAAAAATTTGAAATATCAAGACATAGATAAACATTACTATTAAGACATTCTTTAGGGTTTTGCAATTTAGAAGACTCTTCTCAGTTTAGTGCCACTTGCTGTCTTGGTTTTGCCCATCTTCATTGTTCTCCACCAGATAGGTAAGTGACACACTCAAATGCTGGATGCCAGAATATATACCACAAAATGTCTGGCCACAGCTCACAATCCTTGGAAGAAAACATTCTCCCAACAATACAAACAGTGGGAGAAATGTTGCCGCATATAGATCTTTTTTGGGGAACTGGGGAATCAGACTGAAGAGTTGTTGACATGTGCAGTATTACAGGATGAGACATATTCAACTGAAAGCAGTTAAGAGTACAACAATAGCTAAAAATATACCATTAGTACAAATACAGCCTCATACCTGCTTTGACAAGCACATGTGTCCTCACAAATGATTAAATCACAAAACTACATTGCAATAAAGTAAACATACAACAGTCATTTGTATGAAACAGCAAATATTAAGAAACACTGGTTGTGTAACTGTCATCCCTCTGAGCCAAAGAGGTTAAGATATTTACAGGCAACAAAATGGCTGCCAGTGAGTACTATAGGCAACTTAAAGTAGCAAATCACAGAAAGAACCAAGTCAAAGTCAAAACCTACAAATATTTAAATATATTTTCCTTGTTTTAAAAGCATAATTAATTTAATTTCTTATTCATCTTTTCTTTAGTTCAAATGTTAGACAAATGACTTGCAAAGTGAGACAAACTTTCGGAAAAGCATTTTATTAAACCCTTTTAGGAAATTCTACAGAGATAAAAGCACAGGTAGACAGAAATGACTGAATTAGCAATGTGATGTCACAGGAAGGCAAAAGGGAAGCACAGGCATCCTGAATCTAATTTTTAAAAAAGGATTGGAATTCATGGCACATGGCTCTACCTGCCTGCCATAATTTTAGCAATATTTCACTACTCCAAAAGGATTTTGTTCTTTTCAAAGAGAACTCATATCCACAATAGTACACACAAAATTACTTTCTCACAGTTTTTTTTTGCTAATCTGAGGTTAATGTTTACCACTCCCTCAAATGACTAAACATACATTGAAGGTAAACATTGCCTTTCCAGTGTCAGGCCATTTGGCCCTTTCTCATAATCAGGGATTTCTTGTCTCTTTTATTCCACAGAAATCCAGACCATCATGATGTCACAAAGGACTACCGAAGCAGACTTCATGTGACGTTCATAGCAGATGCCTCGCATGTGGTCAATTTAATGCCGAGAGGTGTTCCATTATTTGAGGACTACTTGTGTACACACAATACGTGGCCTATTTAGGCTCCCCAGTAGATGCGCATCCCAGTTTTCATGAAGTAGAATTCTAATGTTCTAATGCCACACAGGCATCCTTCACATATTTCACTGTTCACAGAGAAGACACTCATTCATTTACCTGAAGACACAATCAACTTCCTATCCCTCCAGAAAAACTTTGACTGTAAACCTGACTTTTAGGGATGGCATACATTATTATGGTATGACACTCCTGTCATTTGTACAGCGGACTCTGTACCACAAAATGGAGGGCAGGTCAGTTCATCAATTCAGTGTTGGGAAGCTGTTTGGATGAAAAAAACTACTGAGATGTAGAGGAGGATACCTGCCACTGACGGAATATATCAAACACCCTTTTAGACTTGTCACGAGGGCCCTGGGAAGAAAGAGAGAATAGAGACACGTCAGACATTGTTTAAATTAAAACTAGATAGCCATGTAGTAACAGTGTAATAAAAAGAGAAATTAGCATGTATTTCTATGCATAATTTTCTAGAGGATGTGATGTGGTCATTTTGTTGAGAATGCTTTGTTGTAAAATACAAAGTTCAGAAGTCTTAACTCACCTGTCCTGGACTGCCTCCTGTTGTATTAGAGTTCTTTTTCATGGGCATGAGGAGGTCAAGAGCAGCCTTCCAGCCCTGCTGATGAAGCGCTGAGCCACTACCCAAAAAGGGGATCGACCCCGGATCCACATTCTCCTTTCCCACAGAGATCCAGGGACACCAGTCTCTGTGCTGAGCGAGGGGGTCAAATGCATTCCTAGGCAGGAGCCCATCCTGATTTAAAAGAGAAGCTGTTTGTAATGGCCAATTCAAAATAAGTAATGTAAAAGCACTTATTTCAAATTTAACTAGAATTAGTATCTAGCTTATACAGTCTTGAATTAGGGTGAAATAGTGGATAAAGTGAGAGATTTGTTTTCAGTCTAAATTGGGATTAGAAATTTCTCTCATGATTTCTTGGAAAACAATGTTTATATATAGCATCCGTGTCTACTTGTGCCTATGAGAACTTGACACAAGTATGGCAAAACTATGTGATGACATTTCAGGTGTTTGCATAAATGTATAGTGTTAACCTCCTGCGCTACGACTATGACAAAACATTGCTTGCAAACTAGGTGCCCCCTCTGTCTGCGTACAATTCATCATCATTGTCATTTGTTGGTGCTACTTAGGAGCGCTGACCTCGATGTAATGGATCTTCTTGCTATATGTGGCAAAATCTGTCATGCAAGAATGAGACTGCATAGAGGTTGATTAACTGTGCAGTCCTGTCTTCAATGCAAGTGTTAAAATCATTGCTAGTACTTCTCAATGGCCAGGCAGCACTGTATGAGAACTTATTAATGGGAACTTTGCACATGGAGCCCTTTGTCATATAAAACAATGTTAAATCTGCAGTAACGTTCTTACAGGACCACCAACTGATGAGAGGCACAGGCGTTTCGGAGGATGTTGCAGGCTGGCAGCACCATCAGACCCCGAGTTGTCCCCATGTCCTCTACCGCGAGTTGCGGACCTTTTGCCCCTGGTCAAAGGACTGGGCACCTCTTCACTAGGGCTTGGTGAGTCCCTGCTTCGGGCACGCAAAGCCACAGGGGAGGAGGTTCCCTCACCCTGTAACACACACCAGAGCATGGTGGTTAAAAACAGCCTGGCACATCATTGATTTCATTCGCCACTGTTACACATAAAGTAATTCTACTTAAAATGAATAATGTCCATATACGCCTAGCTAATTTAGCTGGTCAACCTTCATTTGCTTAAAGCTTGCCTGGTCAGAGCGGGTGGAGTCCTGGCTCCTCAGCTTCATGCGACATGGAGTTGTAGCAGGGGTGGATGAGGCAGAAGCAGGCTGGTCCCCCTGGTTTTCTGGCGTAGGTGCTGAGGCGGGAACTGATGCTTGAGCAGAGGGGCCTACCGTGTTTGGTAAGGCATCTCCATCACTTACAGCTCCCTCCATCTGGTGGAAGTTCCACAAACCCACCTTGCGCATACAGTACGAGCAGGTGAGGATGGGCAGGTTCATGGCTCGCAGAGCAGGGCTAAGATAGAGAAATCCATGGCTCAGACATCTTGATCAGGTGGAGGAGTGCTAATAACTTTAAGTTCCATGTTTCTCTCATTTTCTACATTACTTCCCCTGTCCTTTCAATATATTTTCTTCCATGCAGCTAGAACATCATTGTGGATTTATTTGACATGGGGCATAACATTCTGTGTGCTTTTTCTAGTTTCTGGCAATATCAATGTGTGTGTATATGAAAATGTGATGAAAATGTATTTGAGTCAAGCACAGCAAAATAGGAGTTTGATCTCACCTTGCAGCCCAACCGCAAAGAGAAACAATACATGCAGCCACCTGGACAGCCAAAGGTTCAGAACATGCAGTGCCTGCCTTTCTTTTTTGTTCTTCCTCGATCAACTGAAGTATAACACTGATAACATCCTCTGTAAGGGACTGCAAGGAAACAGTGGACATTAATTACATGTTAACAGCTGAAACTGAACTGTTCAAAATGTTTCAGAGGACAAGTTTGTCATGATCCAAAAAGGGTAAGACTCTTCCCCCTGGCCTCACCATAGATTTCAGCTGCTCAGGCTTCATGGCTGGCAGCTGCTGTGAAAGGAGGCAGGCGCTCTGGAAACGCTCTAAGAAGGCAGTGAGAAGTGCAGATGGTTCACAGGCTGGAACCAGCCAGAACCGCTCTGAAATGACATCAACATTCACCATCATGTAGATAACTCAGGGTTAATGCCGCTGAAATGGCATAGTCATGTTAAGGTCATTGTTATTTTGTTAGTGGTTATACATATGCAATACAAAATGGTTGGTCCTACCTGGACACGGAAAGTCAGGCCAGGGGCAAAACTTCTCATGCTGCGTCTGAAGCTGCCTCGAAATCTCTGCAATGCGGGATTCATCTATTAAATGAAGAGGGAGAGTTGCTTGACCTTTAATTTATGGCAGACTGGCAACAGTCTAACCTTGCCATATTAAAGTGTGACATTGACTTTTGAAGTTTTGCTCACATTTTTCAAAGTCTAAAGTCGGTTGTAGGGATGCACAAAGGAAAGCCTGGCAGCTGGAGCACTTGAGCATGTCACAGCCAACGTTGATCCAGCCATATCTGGCACACATCAGAGGGGACAGTGTGCGGGGTTTGCCTACCCATTTCAAACAGTGCTACGCTAAGGAATAATTCACTAACAAAATAAGTATAAAAAATAAGTATTTTCACATTCATTATTACTGTGAATTAAAATGGATCTCTCTGCCTTCCCCCACATGGATCAAGTTTCACCATACCACCATCCATCCATCCATCCATCCATCGTCAACCGCTTATCTGCGTACAGGGTCGCGGGGGTTTCACCATACCTCAAATATCAAAATGATACATTACTAAGTGTTGTCCTAGTGATCACATGGTTCTGTAATTGAAAAGAAAAACCCTAGATGCCTCATACTGGGTCAGAGGTAATGAGTAAAAGGATATTGAATAGGATTCCACTCTTGAGAAAAAGGCTTCTTTGTTAGTTGCCTCACAAGGTGCTTGGGTGTTGCTTTTTACTTCCAGAACTTTCAAATCTCCTTGTCCACTGAAATCCACACAAATGGGAAAAACAGATCTTCATTTTCCACACACTTGCTTATTATTTGAATGATAAAAAAGTTGTAATTGATGAAATATGTGTACTGTGTACTTTAAGATCCCTACTTTCTCTTAATAATCTTATCCATGGAATGTAAGGTAAAGACCAACCAAATAGAATTAAACAAGTCATGGATAAGAGGTCAGTTAATTGGTGGGGAAATTAATTTAACAGAAGGAAAAATAAAAAGCACTAACATGCAGTTATGCAACTCTTCACCTCAATGTAACTTGCGTAACAGAGAAAAATGGGAAAGTGGCTCCCTTTACTTGTTGCTTACCAATATCTGTCTATCGTATTAACACGCAGTAGAAAGTCTACCTACATGTATTTAACCTGGTCTGGCAGCAAGTGGCCAATACTAAATATAGTGTTACCACGTTAAATCAAAACTTGAGGTCCCCACCCCCTTATCTAACTGTAACGTTAACTGTGCATGGGAGCGATAACATGACGGCAACCATAGCATATCTGTCTGTTACATGGCCTAAATAAAAAGCACAAGGAATAACAATGGTGTTTAAAACTCCCGTTCTTGGCCTACATGCTCCCAAGTCTGTGGAGACGTGTCCCCCTTCACATTACGCTAAGTGAAGGCGGCTAAAGTAGCAGAGCTGCCAGGCTAAGTGGCTAACCAAACTAGCTTAGCCAACTTGTTCTTCGGCCCCTTTAAATCAAAACAAATAGCGCACGAGTGTTCAGAAATTGCACCTGTTCAATCCAACATTTGTTGATGACACCCCTTCATTAAGAATTTCGCGAACTTTCTCTGGAGATGCAAGAGAAGACTTTTGTTGATTGGAGTTGCCGAGACGATCCCCACGACTGCCGCCGAGAGTCGCCATGATCGGCTCTGAAGTCCCCTAGAAAATAAACCCTGAAAGCAATCGTTCCGCTTTGTAAAACCCCGACCACAAAACTCACTGAGTTCATGAACCTTCCTGGCCTCTTCACTGCCAGCCTCATTAGGATATAGCAGGTGCTCCGGTAGCACATACCATCATTATGTCCTTTCTAAGTATTTATCAAGTAGGAATTATTTATAGCAATATGCCAGATGTTAAAAAATGTGTCTAATAAACACTTCGAATTGCCTTGTTGTTGAAAGTTTGCCTTGCCTTGTTAGTTAAATGTAGGCTACTTAAAGCGTCACAACTTAAAACAAAAAAACATGGCAAACAATGGCTCCTGGGAGAGTAACCAAAATCATTTTATGTTATTCGATTGTTATACTGATACAGTATGTGCAAGAGCTGCAGGGCTGTACTCTCTGTACATTGTGTCCATGTCTATTAATTCATAATTTGTAAGGGGTAACTTGAAGAAACATTATTTTAATTGGGTATATGCACCACTCAAGCACAAAATTAACTTAAATACAGTATAACTACATCAATATTAGGTTATAATGCACGTGTTACTTTAGGGCTCTTTATATTGTAATATAGTGTGGCACACAGTATTTAAAAAAATTGCAATTGATATCATTACCTTAGACTACTTGCCACACTTCCTTTGGGCCCCGCATCAATGTAGGGCCCCGGGGCCATACTCACTATTTGTAGGGGCATGTCCACCATACCTACTAAACGAAATTCTACACCCTTGAGTTTTTCACATCCGTACATCCCACCACCGCTGGTAGCTAATCCTGAGAGCACTTTCACACCACCAATCCACCTTAAAACGACCACATACTGTAGAGGGCACTATTTAGTCACTTCGTTATTTCGTACTCTAACAAAAAACTCAAATGAAAGCTGACACAGAAGGATATCTTAAAAAGCGTTTTGTCAGCGATAGGATGTTGTTTTATAAGGTAGGCCTAGGTATGCTGAAGCAATGCACAATCTCTTTATAATTAGGCTAGCCTACTTTGAAAGGCACAGAGATTTTAAGGTTGTATCATGTTTTTTGTGATATTGCTCGGTAGTGTTCAGGACTTCAGGACTCACGACACTCATGTCCTTGCTAATATTTCTGGGAACTGAGGTTTTGATGACATGAAGATCATTACAAAAAAATGACATAGTTTAAAAAAAATGCTGGTCCTGATACTATTATGTTGTAAGGCAAAAAAAAAAAAAACTAAATAAATGAAAAGGAGATTTTGTATAATTCTCAAGTAGCATTACATAGGATAGACCTTCCTGGCTATTTACTCCACAATGAATGAATGGATGATGATGATGATGATGATGATAAAAGCATAGAGTATATATCTGAATATAACTGAAAAATGTGAAATTTTGTGATATTTTAAAATACACAGGACATTTTACAGAGTTCGGTGGGGTCAATCATGTCTTAGGAGGGTAGGGTTCTGCTGGGGAATGAGCCCAGTGGGTTATTTTTACATTCTGGCAACAGCCCCGTTAGTGTAAGCACTTCCTGTGAAACGTTAACTTTCTATTTACCACGAGTCATTTCCAACACCTACCGCACAGCTCGGCTCGGATGCATAATAGTATATAGAAAGTGCACAGGCAACGCCGCACTTGGCCAGAAAGGAACTGTTGTTGTTTTTGAGACACGCGCAGTCCCGCCCATTTCTAATGACGCAACGTCCTAATAATAAGCGCTCTGATTGGCCGAAGGTCTCACGGCCGGGGGGGTACTGTTTGTGAATGGCTTCAAAGTGACTGAGATGTGGAATGATGTATAATGTTTTATCGGCACTTTAGCAGATTTTGCTTTTATTTGATGTGACATTCTCCAGGACTGGATTGTAACGGGGAAACGATGTCGGACGCCGAAAGTGCTCGCAGTCCAGACCAGCTGAATAAATTCGAGAAACTGACAGGCAGGCCGCCGCTCGATGAGACGTTAGCAGGTCGGTCAACAACATTAGCAAGACATGCTAACGATAGGTAGATAGATACTGCACGTTGGCACATTTTGCCACACGACTAAACACCGTGTGACTGATATCAGCTACAGCACATACTATGTCACTTTTGAATGTTAATAATTTAAACGTTGCCCTTACTGGTGACATTGCTAAGCGTAACATTCAAGCTAGCAACATCAATTAACTCTGCTTGTTTGCCTTTTAATAGCTTGTTAGCAACAATATCCAAGAAAAGATCTATTATAAAATTAAATCTGGATATCATACTGTTTTACTGTCACCTTTTTGTAAAATATTGTCGTGTTTAGCTATACAGCCAACTTAGTAAGTTATATAGGACCTGACACACTATCATTAATTACCAGGTTTTTCTGACCTGCAAACACCTTGATGCCAATTTTAAGGCTGTGCTTTTAAAAGCTACACGACTGGTAAACGCTTCATTTTATATAAAATTTAATTATAGGCCTTTAAAAAATAATGTATTATTAACCATTATTTGCAGAACGTAGTACTCAATAGACAGACATGGCTGAGATGATCTATGATGTGTAGCTAAAGCCAGGAAGGATTTTAGTCCTTTATTTATTAAATTTTCCATTTAGCTCTAGGTATTTTATGTTGTGGTAAATCTTTTGTACAGATCAGTTGGTTCTGATATGTTTTCTTTTTTGTGTGTCACAGATGGCACCTTCATGTATAGTCACAATCCAACTCGGGGTCCCTCTGACTGATATTGACATATAGCTGCAGAAAATATCCAATGATCTAGATTACTTATAGTCATCATAAAGTACTGCAAAAAAAAGATTTATTTACCTTTTATGTGACAATATTCACGTAGAAACTGTAGGTAATGCGTTTTAAGTTTTGACTGCACTCATTCTAAGTCTTTTGGACAAAAGCCTCTGAGTGAATGTAAAGTAATGGGAGAAGCACCTGGACAGAAGTGTGCCAGTGAAGCATGGTCTGCTATGATTATGAACTATTTAATTAGGTTTTAGAAATAATAATTCAACAGCAAAGTAATTAACTTGCAAACGGATGTTGTGTTAGTGGTATTGGATTTGAATGAGTGTGGATGCTTTGCCATGTGACTGCTCCTACATTCCTCTGCTCTGTCTCTTTACGCCTCCCTTAATTGCTGTGCTTTCCCAGTCCATTACAAATCCTGATTATTAAAAACACATTAGTTGGCAGAAATGTGTTGAGTTGTAGGCCTCATTCTATTCTTAGTACATTAAACAGAGAACACATTATTAGATTTGGCTTAATGTGCTCTTTTTCTGTCATCATGTGCCTGCTGATTCCTCAGGCCAAACATCTCAGTATCTGAAATTATGATAGAATTTCTGCTATTTGCATAGCTTTCCTTATAAGGTAAAATGGTGAGCCTGGTAGATATTGCTGTGAATTTTATATTTTAACTATATTACTGTATGAGATGAATCAGCTTCTTTCTCTGTCAGCTTTAGTGTAAGTGCCATTCAATTTCCGACTGCACTATTTGGGCCGTTTATATATAGAATAATGAGAAGGACACACCTATTGCTTAAGTATCATTGAAGGATTTATAGCCTTTTGTCTCCAAACAAATGTGTTAAGTTCATATTCAACTGGCTGTGAACACAATGCACAAAGAAATGCTCTCATAGAGAAATGGTTATATCACTAGGGAAGTGTCATAATTAATCTCCTGATTCTAGAGCTAGCTACGCGTTTGACTACTTAGCTCATTTACACAGGTGACTGTGTATGGTGTTGCCCAGCTTTCTGTGAGGGCATTCTAGGATATACTATAGCACCCTGTGACAAGGAAGAATGAAAAATGATTACACAATGTTATTACTCCATATTGATCAAAATGGAAGGATTTCACAATGGTCTGAAAAGCTCTAAAGTGGATAAATGTGTTTATTTTTCTAAGGAGTACAACCGGTGGTCCAATTTATCTTGTATTTCGACATACTTGTATTAGGCACTTAGCTTTTTATGCGTTAGTCCAGTCTTACCTGTCATCTAGTATCTCTGTTAGTCCATCCTATGTCACTTTGTTCTTTCCTCTCCAGGTCATCGTACTCCCCCCGCCCGCAGTGGGCATCGCTGTGTTGCTGACAACACTAACCTGTATGTATTCGGAGGGTACAACCCCGATTATGATGAGTCAGGAGGCTCAGAGAATGAAGACTATCCACTGTTCAGGGAGCTCTGGAGGTACCACTTTGCCACAGGCTGCTGGCAGCAGATTCGAACAGAGGGCTATATGCCCACAGAGCTGGCGTCTATGTCAGGTGAAATGTTGTATATAACATTTTGATACTTAATTGCGCTTGCACTCATTGGTGTTCTATACCAAAACAATATCCAGTTTTCTATTAAGGAATGTGTATGAAAATTGAGTTTGGTGTGTCTGTGTTTCTTCAGCTGTTCTGCATGGCAACAACCTCCTGGTGTTTGGCGGTACTGGGATCCCCTTTGGTGAAAATAATGGCAATGATGTACATGTTTGTAATGTGAAGTACAAGCGATGGTCACTGCTTAACTGTCGGGGGAAGAAGCCCAACAGAATCTATGGACAGGTAACCTCTTAAATCACCTCGTCATTGATTGCGTCCTGGGGAAAATTCAATGAAGGGATTTGAAATATTGTAGAGACTGCTTGAATAGTTTAGAGTTTTTTAAAAATCCATTTGGATCTAGTGGATGCACAAACTTTTAAACGCTGCTTCAAATCTTTCCTCCTATAGGCGATGGTTATCATAAACGGTTTCTTGTACGTGTTTGGAGGGACAACAGGTTACATCTACAGCACAGACCTGCACAGGCTGGACCTGACCACCAGGGAGTGGATCCACCTTAAGCCCAATAACCCTCCTGATGACCTGCCTGAGGAACGGTACGCCTTCTATATGATGCCAGAATGTGCTACCGGATTAACCCAAGCTAAAGATCTTTTCTCTGTAGTAAAACCCCTTGCCATGGCGTGCTATTGTATGTGTGACAGGTACAGGCATGAAATAGCACATGACGGACAGAGGATTTACATTCTGGGAGGAGGAACCTCCTGGACATCATACCCTCTGGACAAGGTACTATACCACTAAGGGTAGACTCACCAAAACTTTCAAAACATTTCAAGTGCAAATCTCTGAACTGCTTACAGCTTTATTTTTATGACAGCTGACACAATATCTGATCTATATATGATATTTTCCTCCCTAGCAAACCTGTCAGTGCGCCGATGAAGATGAAAGATGTTTTAAAGTGAACACAATTTTCTAATGTGGTTTTACAAATAAGTAGACAGAAAAAATATCTCCACACTGCACACACATAGATATACATGCAAGACGGCGGCATTAGGTATAGATAGAAATCTACTCCTTTGCTTATATCCAAGATGCTGACAATAGTGCAATACATTATCAAGTGTAAAGGTGACATAGTTATATTCAGACCATCTTCGGTAGCTACTATTTTTGTACCAATATTTCTGCTGCTGTAAAAGCATTGAATGTTGAGACTGAGAGGTGACTACAGTGTTTCAAGCAAGGAAATGTACTCATGTACTGTATTTAAAGAAAAAAGTTAATTACAGTTTGTTACTGTTTTGTACATAAGCCAAATCCATCTTAATAACTGTACTGAACACTCACTTAGACTCACAGTAAATATTGTGTCTTTTTAATAGATACATGCTTACAATCTGGAGACCAATTCCTGGGAGGAGATTACAACTAAACCTCATGACAAAATAGGTCTGTAGTCTGCCCCTTATTATTAACTAAGCCTGTTTTGTTCTCATTCACATATCTCTAAAATGTCTGTGCTTTTGACAGGGTATCCTGCTCCCAGGAGATGCCATAGCTGTGTACAAATACGAAATGGTGAGAATTTACCATGTGTGTATCCTCATATCTTAAACCTTCTGATTTAAGTTGATTTTAAGCAACTCCTTTCAGTTTTCACATGTACAACTACATGATCATTCACCTTTCTCTCTTGTAGATGTATTTATTTGTGGAGGCTACAATGGGGAATTGATATTAGCTGATCTGTGGAAGATCAACCTGCAGACTTTCCAGTGGAATAAACTACCAGCAGTGATGCCTGAGCCGGCCTACTTCCACTGTGCTGCTGTCACGCCAGTTAGTACAACACTACACGTTGTAGTCACTCTACGTATATACGTTTAATTAATGATCTGTTGTTTACAAATAGCTACAGTTTAAGGTACTGGAGTATCACGTCAGTGGGAACAATCTTTTTCATGAAGGCAGTTATCTAGTCATCTAATCTAACCAATGAAATTCAGGTAGATGCTGAGTCTAAGTCCCTTTTGAATTAGATAAAGTTCTGTAATCAAAGCAAAATGAGTGACAGAAGAAGAAAAAATGTATTTGCTGGACTTCTCTTCTCATTGATCTACTTTTATCAGAGGATATTTTGGTCCTTCCTTGTGGCCAATTTATTGAACTATGAAATTGTACTTTTGCCATGCATGTTGTTGTAGTTATGTTGACACAGATGCATGTGCATGGTGAGGCTGGAATTTTTATTTTATTTTATAGTAGCTTTCTACATGGCACCATACCTGATTCACCACCACTGACTGATTTAGAAACTGCATAATTTTCTTTGCCCAGAACATGCTGAAAAGAAATTGTCAGTCACAGTTTCCCACAGATCACCTTTGATGGCTGACTGGGGAGCTTAGAACCTTAAGCCACAGTTAATTTCTGTAGTAAAGTCTTTACTGTAAAATAAAATGTATCTTCTCTTTCTGCACTCCATCCTCAGACTGGCTGCATGTACATCCATGGGGGTGTGGTGAACATCCATGAGAACAAGAGAACTGGCTCTCTGTTTAAGATCTGGCTGGCTGTGCCCAGCCTGCTGGAGCTATGCTGGGAGAAGCTCCTCAAGGCCTTTCCACACCTGGCTTCACTCCCCACCATGCAGCTACTCAACCTGGGCCTCACACAGGAACTCATTGAACGCTTGAAATAGGCCGCACAGTGGCGGACGGACAAATGAATGGATGGGAAGGGAAGGGCTGAACTGGGAGGAGAAGAGGTCTGACAGAGCACAGAATTTAATTCACAGGAAAATGCCCTCTCCCTCCCCTGCCTAACGTAGCCCCGCCTTAAAACCAAAAACAATGGGATGCCTCTTGTTTTGGGTTGTTGTTTTTTTTTTTTGTTTTTTTTTTGCAGTTTCAGTGATAAAGAACATAAATGTGGAATGTTTTATGGATTTTACTCAAACCCCCCCATCACCATTGTTTCTTACGTGATGCCTTTGTGTCAAGCTTAATATGAATATCTGCCCGCTTATCCCCCAAACTGACACCCGGAAATACTTTATTTTGCCATGTAATGTTTTCAGAACTATCCTCTCCCATTTTTAAGAAATCGGCCTTCTCTAGTACTTTTAAGAATTCTGTGCAAAGGAAGAATGCATGTGTATTTATTTGAAGGACTAAATCAGTTTTTCAGGGGGTATTCTCATCACCTGAGATTGCTGTTTGCACACTTTGTCTTGCATATTTATGGACATCTACTTTTTTTTTTTAATAGATCCTATAAGCAAAGTACTGTTCTCAGTCTAAAAAGTGTCAGTGGTTTTGCCAAAGGACCATGTTGGTGGTGTTGCATATTTTAGCCAGTTTAACTCAAAACTCATAATTTATTACTGCAGACATGCTGTAATCTTTTTGCAACATTCCAGCCTTTTATGTGAGTTTTCTCCCTAGGGTATAAAAATCTCCCACAAGCTTGAAACTGGCTTGAATTAGAGATAATCACTGATTTTCATGTGTTTTTATTGTTATGTTATCCTGCATAACTTTGACATAAACTAAAGCATACATGGTGTTAATTGCGAGGGATTACCATTCTTAAATTAAGTCTTTCCCGAGTTTTTATACTGTGTGTCTGCCCTAACTAAGTTATGGTATGTCTTTAAAATGGTCATGAGTAATTTGTGGTAAACTGGCTAAAACATGCAGAAACACTGATGCTCTTCATTGGTGCGTGAAGAAAAGGTTCACTGCTGGTTATGCTCATGTCTGAGCCCTTGTATCTCATGTAATTTCCATTATACATTGTTACAGCCTAGTCTGGAAAACCACCTGCAAAAAAAAAAAAAATGAAAGGATGGTGGGTATCTTCAAAATGATTTAATTTCTATCCTGTTTGCTTGCAGCTATCATTTGTAAAAAAACAAAAAACAAACATGCAACACATCACTGTGAATTTGGTGCTCTTTAAAATTAATTTTAAATGCTTTTATTTGAATAAAGACTTAATTCTGTTCTGACATTTACTCCCTCTCTGTTGGTGACACAAAATGTTTTGCATATGGAATTTAGTAGCAGGCTTAAACAAATGTTTGTTTATACTGCAGTGCCTTTTTCAAACTTTTAATGAGATTGAAATTTCACAAATACAGGCAGTATAACATCTTTGCATGTTGAGACAAAGGATCTCTGTTGAAATTAGTTTAAGTTAACATTTGTACCATTTTAAACAAGCCATTACATAAAATCACCCAACATCTTGGTGGCAAACGCACAATTGTGTATTATGTTTCAACGATGCAGAAGTTTTATATTCTGTTCCTGTTAATGGCCAGACACTAGACTCCAGGACAGGATGCAGCATATTTTGGATATTAATCCTAAAAGGTACTTATTCAGCGTGTCATGTTAATGTGTTAAATACAGTGTTTGTTTAATGAATTTTAACTGATGCCAAATAATGTTGCTCCTTGAAGAAAGAGTGATTATGATGAGGAATGAGAGGTTAGTCGAGACCCAGGGTGGAATGTTGCTCGATGGTTTGATCTGCCTGCACCCTTTTTGTTCTGCATAATAAAACTACTTTATGCATGACACCATGACCTACCTTTTAAATTAACATCAATCCTTCACTTTGGGACGTAGTTTAAGGTGACCACTAAAATGTTGTACAGTAGGCTTGTATGAATGTTGTGTTGGAGTTCTGTCAATAAAAATTGTTCTGTAAATACCTCGCTGCCCCCCCCTCCATTTCCTTTGCTTGACTAGCATGAGCATGGTGCATATTACTATTTTTGCATGAACTGCTGCGGTCACTTATACTCTTAGAAGGCACTCTAGATCAAGGTGATAACATTGCATGCCATTTGTCTTCTCAGTTAAACATATAAATGTGCCAAAAATGTCAGTAATGAACTCTATACAGCCAATATATCAAAATGTAGCAGAAATAGAAGTCTATAGTGGTGCACATTTTTTCAAAAGAAGTCAAATATTTGAAGTCAAAAATGTTGTAGGTAGTGAAGTAAAAAGTGAGCTTATTTTACAGACACGTTTTATAAATTGATGCATTTATTATGTCCAATATAAACCAAATATAACAATGATGCCGACCCAAAAATAAATAGCCATAGCATTTACATTTAAATGTAAGAGCAAAAAACCCAAGTCACAGATTGTTATGCCAGCCAGAACAGTGAAAAAGTCAGTATCATACATTGACAAAAAAAGCAGACTAGCTGTATATTTAACTTACAGCTCCACTGTGAAATTTCAAAACTCTTATCCAATTGTTTTTCCATCTTTTGTGCCACTGAACCCACACCACCTGAAGATGACAGATTAGTGCATTTTTATAGTGGCATGATATTCTGGAGCCTTAGGATTTTTCTAGGCAGGAAGATCAACAAGCACGTGGAGAAGGAGCAAAGAAGTACAGGGCCAAAAGGATGAAGTAGACCACCACTAGAGCGGTGCCTGCAAATAAAACAGAGTTGATTATAATCTATGTTAATTTAAGCCAGACTGAAAACAAAACAAAAAGTTAGACATGGCTAATTGTGTAATTTTATTTTTTTGCTAACATTTCTAATATCCTCTGTTGGTCTCTGAATTGTCCATGTCTGATGTGGGGAAATATCTGCTTAATGACACTTACCCTGAAAGTAGTCACATTTTCCATCCATGAAGATGTAGTTGACCAGAATCACACTGAAGATGCTGGACCAGAGATGAATATCACTGAACACAAGAACGAATCCAACATCCTGTAAAACAAAAGCGATCCCAGGTTTCAGTAATGATGGAAACAACTGCATTATATGAAGAAATCTATTAATTACAAAAACTGGACATTTACATAGAAGGCATTGAAGAGTACGAGCAGTGGGATCTGTATCATGCAGACCTGCACAGCAATGCAACTGCCCACTTCAAGGCTGTAAGAGAAAAAAAATACAAGTTAAAAACACTCCTCTTTACAATTTCATACATCAGCTCATGGGGAAAAAAGGAATATCTGAAAATCTAACATAATGTGTTTGTAAATGAGTAAAATTACAAATTAGACATGTTTGTTTTTTGCAATAAATTTTATGCTCGTGGAAAAATTTGGTGGTAACTAAAATGTATACTACAACAGTAGCTATATAAATAAAATTGAATTGAACAGCATAGTCTACCCGTACCTAAGGCTGATGTTGTTCTGCAGTGCAAATTGGATCCCATTGACAATCTCAGGAAGCTCTGGCACCATGGCCAACACCGTGACACCGATGAAGTACTGCATGACGAACAAAGAAACACACTGAGGTAGACTATTCATTCTCTTTATATCTAAACTTATCAGGTACATCGAGACTCCCTAAAAACAAAATGTCTTCTATATACACTAACATGGCATTATTGAGACATTTTTCCTTCCTCTTTCAAAATTTTGACTACCTGTGAGATGGAGTAGTGAGTAAGCATGGGCTCAATGTTCTCTGTGCTGAGGTCAGCGCAGCAGGCCATCAACACTGTGGCACCAATTAGCACTGCAAGAGCCCTCCACCGGGACCAGTGGACTACATGATGACCTGCTGGTCACATACACACTATGAGCTTACCAATGTTTAACATGTAAGACTTACCTCACTGTTGACAGAAGTTTTCCTCCCCTTTCTCATACATCCAAGTTCAAAGTCTGATCTTTCTCCCATATTTAGGTTCTTCACAATCACATGCTTAAGAGTATTGGCATGCACAGCTTTACCTCACTCTGTGGGAAATGCTTTCCTTACATGCATAAATTGGTTAATATAGTACTCAGTGCTTCATAGTGTTATTTTCCTTCTCTCAAAAAATTAAACAACCCCACATGCATACACATTCACACACCTGTTGCAGCCACCTGGCTGGCGGCAACAACGCTGGCATTAATACACGAGTTGGCTACAACGATATGGTCAGTGGTGACCTCACCAGTGGGGTGGTAGGTGCTGGTACCCTCCTGTACGTACTGACCATGTGCATGGCCCCCTTGGCCATCGCTGATATGGATATCATAGATGTGGGAGTGGGTCTTCAGTGTGAAGATGAGGCCAATCAGGTATGCAGCAGGCAGCAGCACAGAAACTGTGTACACCAGGGGCCTGGAAAATGCGTGAAATTTATAATTAGCTAATACACTATTAAGTTGATTTGTTGAAAAAACTGCTGCAATTTTTTATTTTCTAAATCTGCGTATGGCACCTGGACTTACTCGATTTGGGACAGAATCAAATGTGGGTCAGCATGACTCTGTTAAAAACAAAAAATGAAGGTGAAAATTAAAATCAAAAAACTTCTACACAAAAAGATGCCATCTTTATGGTAGGAGTGTCTAGACTGTGTTAATACAAACATCAAGCCAATGAATGTAAAAGGTGATGCTCACCGGGGCAAAACTGGAATTAAAAAGTGTTCTTAAAACTTGCTAAACCGCCACAAGCATGAAGTCATTTGAAGGTTAAGTGAAGCAACTCACCAAGTCGTAGTGACAATCCTTGCAGATGAAGGGTACACTGGCATTGCCTGGAATCTTGGTGCAGCTTTCACACACCAGATTCCCGAAGGTCTTCGAGAAGAGGGTGGGAGCAAACACACCTACGGACAGTTTTACAGCAAGAGACTCGAGTTTAGGCATTTATGAATCTGTGGGTGGAGGACATATTGTTTAAAAGTTTAAAAAGTTCTGTGTGCAACTGCCGTAAATACCTCCTATGGATATGAAGAGCAAGGCTGAGCTCACTCCGGCTGAACGGCTGTTAAATCGCTGCTCTCTATGTTTAATGCCCCCAATGATCATAGAGATACCCTGTAAACAGACAATCAGCAAGAGGTTATGCATGAGTACGAGCATCTGTATACCAATTTCAGACCAACACATCACAGGGAGAACCTGTTAACAGATATGTACACACATGCTCATTTGTCCTTCTCAGGCACTTACAGGTATTAACAGGATAGACCCAAGCAAGGTCCCAGTGAGTGCTGCTTTAACAACCTCTTCGTAACATTTGGTTGCAGCATGGTGTCCCTGCAGCAGTGCTGTGATGTAGAATGTCATCTCCGTGATGGAGCCAAATGTGGCGTTCACCACAGCTCCCACTGCAAAGTTACTCTGTGCAGAAATGCTGTGAGAATATGCACAGTTACCAATAAAACGACCATTTGATATACTGTACCCATTGCACCCCTAGTCTGTGTTTAAATGACACTCCTATAGAGACAAAAATGCACAAAAAAAACAACTTCACCTGGCTATACCCATGCCAATATAGTAGGACAGAGGAATGATTGAAGTGATGGCTGTGGCAAACTTGGTCTCCGCACTACAGTAATTGTGTTCACGGTCAGTATAGCCAACAATCAGAGTCATTAATACAAGGGGAAGTGAATCTGCAGGGAACCTACACTTAAGGAGAACAAGTGGATGATAGTACACAGACCAGTATTGTATTGATTATATCAGTTTTCGTGTCTCTATCATAACACAAGTACACAGGAGTCCAGTATATTGAAACACAATCTAATGGTGCCATAGGTGACCTCTAGGCACTTTTTAATAGACAGATCCAACAACCCAAATGGATACTGATGGCGAAAATGTTGACTCCTTGGACAGTGTATTTGTAGTAATACACATTGAATGCTTGATAACAGCATAAGATGACTCTGGTCTCGCACCCAAGTTTCTGCAATACAGAACATAAGACACTCAAGTTACAAATATATAAGATGTAAACAGTCAAGTAACAGGTATGGTTTAAAGGGTAAGTTCACACAAATGAAAAAAACATTTCTAGCCATGCAGGCAGTTCTGTTGTGTTATGGTTTTGAGATCACCTGTGTAATATTAACTGCCTCCCTAATTTCATATATGGTGACAAAAGAGCTGAAAGTTATTTTTTTGAAAAGATTGTCTTTTCATGACCAGCGTCCTGATTACTCTGGATAATCCACCCACGTCAATGTTAATTTAAGTTATTTTCTATTACAGTCAATTCCCAATGAATACTGTCCATAGTGTTAGACAAAGATATTTTGCAAATAAATCCAAACACTATGTACAGTACATGTTATAGATCACTTGGGTGTAAGTACAAACTCTGTTCTTTGTAATTTGGTTGAACTGACCCTTTAAGGCTAAGAAAAGTCATAGAATACACACTAATTAGATTGGCCATTTAAACACTGCAACTGCTGGTGCCATCATTCACATTAACATGTGGAGCACGTCAGTTACATGTTACCATAGCTAACAAGGAGGCTACAAAAACTCTATAGGAATTAAAACAAAAAAGTGTGGAAGGAAAATACTGCACAAATTGTACTCTTCACATCTTTCTCGAGTAACCACTGACATTTGAGAAAATGACCGTGAACCTTTTCCAGTCTGTGAACCTGAATGTCCTCTGGTGCCATGCGGAGGATAGCGATCAGTGTGCAAGCATTCATCTTGAATACAGGTATAGAGAAGACCAGCAGCCAGGAGAGCACACAGGCCAGGGAGTGGACCACAGCGAGGACAGGGTAACCCAGTAACAACCAAACATAAGTACTGATGCGACACTGCAAGGAAGTATAAGGAATAATTAAAATAACATAACATATAAAGTATTACCAAACGCTCAGTGCACCAAGTGATTAACGGTAACACGTTCTGACTTTCTTACCCAGTGCTTTGAAGTTTTTCTAGCCGGTGGTTCTGGGACAGGGATCTCAATAGCAATTGGGGAAGATATTAGAAGAGGCGCAGAGTCCTTGTTCCTGACAAGGTCCTTACTGTCTTCACAGTTCCTCTCCTCTGGAATGACCTCACACTTAGGAGGCCTCACAGTGGATCTGTTAACTACATCACCGGCCTGAAAAAGGCAAAGATGACAACAGTGTAAGGTGAACGATTACTTGTTAATACCACCCAAAGAACAAGTCCCAGCTACTCTTACAATGTCAGTGGAATACTGGAACCCAAGACACAACAAAAATTAATTTAGAAGGAAGGATATAATATATATATTATACTACCTTTTCTAACAACTTCCCAAATGGCCAAATAAAGTACCACGCCATCTTTAAACAAAGTTTGCCTAGAAAAAGCAAAAAGCAAAATGTCATAATGTTCTACACTTCAGGGGAAACATCAACACTCTGAGTCATGCATCTATTTTATAGGATACGAACCGTAGGGAGCACCGAAGATTGTTAGAAACATTACAGGACAAATGAGGAAGTAGATTAAAGATATCCACCATCCAAATAAAAATACATAAATTATGTTCCCAAAGGTGACCACTGAGCCTGAAAGAAAGGAGAAATCATATGGTTATTGATTTCCCCGTATCAAATTTATCTGCACGAGTAAGTAGGTCCCTCGTGATTCTGTACACATGATAAGCAATGGCGATGAGTAAGTGAGCGAGCACGTAGGTCGTCTCAAAGAGAATTAAAGAGAAATAAAACAAACAGAGACCTTCTCGAGGCTTAACAATGCTAAGATCAGAGTAGAGCTCTCTGATGTCGTCTGATCTGTCTTCTATGGGCTTCTCCGTCACATGGCCCTTCCACTTCCTGAAGCCAAACTGGAAGACAAAAAAAACAAACAAAAAAAAAAGAGTTATCAGAGGTAAATGTAGTCAGTAATAAACATCTGCAGCACATTTTCAGATACTCAGAAACAGTAACACATCTTTTTTAATTTGTCAAATAAAACTGAATAAAAATGGATACAGATTAGTTGCAGGGGAAGATTTCAGTTAAAGTGTTGCCTTGACTCAGTCATAGTCCACCTTGTAGTTGTTGGCCTCCCTGTGAGCCTCCACCTCATTCTCAGCTCTGATTGTGGTCTTTGAGGTGCCATCATGCCAACTCTCTTCTCCATACCGTGACGGAGTAGACCGGGCACTTTGTGACTGAGTAGACAGGGCTGAGGTGGCATGTCCTGTGCAGATCACAATGGTGAGAAAACTCTTCAAGACGACACAGACATACAATATCTGTGATGGAGGAGCCGAAATGATCATCCCCAACAAACTGCAGTGATCCCTGCTCTCATCCTTTAAACTGACTTCCCCTGTCTATTTATGTTTAAACATCTTCCATGTCCATTGTCTTGATTTAAACCACACAATTAGAGTTTTAAACATTGGCTAGTAAGGTTTTCAATGCAACAGTGTTTGAATTCATATTTTTCGTGGTATGTCTCATGCACCTCTGTTGATGGTGAGGAAACATTTCGGAGTGTAGTGGCAGAAATGGTGGGCAGAAGCATCTGGGGAGAACGTCTCCACTGCACCTAGGTCTGGATGCTGGGGGCCAACGCAGAGCCAATCACTTTGGGAAGGTCGCTGTGGAAACCGGTAATGCTGTTCAGGGTCTAGACAGTTCTCTGAATAAGGAAATATCATGGAAAAAGGAGTTAAAAAAAAAAAAAAAAAAAGGCTCAGTATATCAATCAATATATTTGCCAATTCAGCAGTGAAAAAAAATGCTTCACTGAGGGGTTACATTGCACAAGAGGTGGGGAGGTTGACTGTCATCCAAGACCAACACCCACCAGCTGCACCATGCAGATTCGTGTGACTAACAAAAACCGCCTGAGAGTCATACAGGGTCTCCACTCTCCCGTCACTCCGTCAACTGCTGTCTTCCAAAACTGATCACATTATCAATGGATTGCAACATATAGAGATAAGAAAACTTAGACTGTGCTGTGCTTTGAAATTAAAAATAGAAGCATGCTGGTTATACTGCATTTAATCCATCTGCTTGTAATGTTGTTCACGAGGGCTTTCTTATGCCCTTCGTTTATGATTTATGAAGCTGATGATGCAGACTTACATATTCAGAAATAACATATTTGCACTCCACAGCAAATAGTCATGATATCCACTTGGAAAGTTTGCCTGTTCCCACTACTTTGGCAGTGAGCTGAGAGCTTTACACATTTGGCTAAAACCACCATCAGCCATATGACATTCCCATTTAATAATTAAAAACAGCCAAGTTGGGGCGAGATGATGATGAGTACTGAAACTCAAGAACAGTCAATGGTCATTTTGCACTTAATTTTTGCTGTCTTACCTGTAACGTTCTTCCTAATAACACAAACCACCAAACTGCTATGATGTGAGCAAAGTGGACAAACAACATTATGATTGAAAAGTTGCGATCATCACAAAGTAATCACCTTTAAAAAGGAGACAAAAACCTCACAACTACCTGTCACAACTTAGCGTTGGAAAAAAAGAGATCTGAATGACGTTTATATAATGACTTTCAAACAATTATTCTAGGAATAAAAGGATCTTAGAGCTTGACAGTCAGAAAGCAAGTCTTAAGAGTTAATTTCGCTCAGATTGGAGGAAGGTTGGCAGCACAGGTGGCTCTGATGACCGCGCTTCAGTAAAATGTAAACCAAGCACAGATATGCAAACACAAAACACACACGTTTTGATAGCCTGGGTTTTGAAATTCGCTGTGAAAAGACAAACGTTGAATGGAGGCCATAAAGTGGAGTAGTTTGGTCTCACCGTGAGAGTCAGCCACAGATCTTCTCCGCAGGTTCTCCACATCACCTGGCATCAGCGAAGACTTTTTGGTGGACATTTTGTCTGTTTATTTGGTGTCGCTCCTGTTATCATCTGTGCGTCGAAGGTTTATCCCCTCTTTATAAAGTCTGCCATGCAGTGACTGGTTGCTCACCACGGCAGGCTGACTCCCAGCGAAGGGGAGGGAAGACTTTGGAGTAGCAGGGTGGACTGCGACTGCAGGCTACTGATTTAACTCCTCCAGACTATCCACTATATCTGGTCAGACTCATGTTCCTTCTGCCCCTAGTGGTAGAATCAAAAAAGACAGCAATGCAACAGATGTATGTGCAACTGTTTGCCCCAGTTTGTAGCGTTACATTCAAATCACAGAGCTCAGCCTCAGTTCCCCCAGAAAATATAGTCTGGCAGTCTTAGAAAAACTCAAGAGCATTTGACAACACTTTTTCACATTTCCACGACCCTCTTTCTCAGAAGACTCCAGTGGATGAAGAAAAAAAATACTGCATCTATTGCATAATTGAAAAAAAATTAATACTTTTAATCCCTCTCTCAAGTCGATACTACGACCGAATCCACCTTCTTTTTGTAAACCATAAGCAACAAATGAATGTAATTTTTTTGCTGACAGACATCAATTTTGGTTCACCTTATACAAATTTAGTCCAATAATGTCATTTACTATTTGTTTGTATTAGAGAAATATGACACAACAATTCACAGAAAAGTGTAGGGTTACTTTTATTTACATATAAAAAGAGAAAAGTACAGCTGCACCGTCAAAGTGACAGTAAACCTTTTTTTTTTTACACAGTTGGGGGACTAAACACAGAAAGCAACACATGGCCTGCTGGTAGACCTATATCCTTTAAAGAGCTAACAAAGACAGTAAAACATAATTTCCAAAGTAATCTTCATTTAAGTTCTTAATCTTTGAACAAAAACATTTTGGGTGAATATCAGCTATGCTTTATTTTTGTTGCCAAACTCTCTGTATTGTTGAATTCATGGGGTTGTAACTACTAATAACATAAATAATTATCTATCATACATATCTCACACGAATAACTAGACACTTACATTAGACAAACTAATTTGCATCGGCTAAAAAAGCTGTTTATCACATTCTACTTCAGCATCATTTATACATTTTGAGTATAAAAGGACAGTACTAGGTAGACTTTTGGTTACAGCACAAGTACAGTGACAACTTTTTTAGCATAGTTGACTCTTCCCTTTTCATTTATCATATCAGCAGAGTAATCAAGTGATTTGATATATAAATCTGTACAAATAAAAACCTTATTGAGAAATATATGAACAACCTATATACAGTAAACACATTTAGAAAGAGAGAGACTGAAAAAAAGAAGCATTTAGGAAAGAGGGACATCTGAGCCCACTGCAGTCTAAAACTGACTGCAGAGAAGAGGAAATACACATGATGCCAAGTTTGAATTGGATGTGTACAACCGATTAACAGAAGTTAAGAAGAAGAAATACTGCTGTATGAAAGAACACTTACAATTAACAATACTTGTACAAGGAGAAACGTTGTTCTGAAATATACAAGGAGAGCTCATTGGGAAACAGATGGCCATTTCCTTAATTTCAGTATTTTTCCAACAGGCAAAAAATAAATTAACTCTTGGGTCTTTCATCATACAAATAATTAGCACCCTCTGAAAATCTTGTCTTTGCTGACCTCCAGTAGTTTAATGTTTCACCTCTCTGCAGTGATGTGCAGGTGTACTTCAAAATCCAATGACATCATTGTTGTGTGTGGTCACTGTGACCCACCAAACCCAACCACACCTTTCAGTGATGCTGGGTGTGGTCACAGGTGAAACAGGCTTGAAACCAGGGGGGGCTGCAAAACACTGCTTTTTAGCCTGGTGTTAAGTTGATACCGATGTCAATAACATAAGATAATAATTTAGGTTATTCTGTTTAAATCTGAAATAATGATCACTATGTGAAGCTGTGAGACAGATGAAAAAAAGAGTTGGCTTCTGTCCCAGTGTGTATCACAAATTCTTAAAGAAACCTCTCAAAGTCAATCATCTCTGGAATATTAGTATTAATAGGTGAAGGGAGATAATGGTTAGTACCTCAAGTTAACTGTACATAAACACAAGTAATTAATGGCTAAATAACAGTGATAAGAGAGAAATTGAGTCTTAAGAACAATAAAATATAACACAAAAGAGGACCTGGGTTAAACATTATTTGCAAGTAGCCCGTAGCAATTTGCTTTTCTTTACCTGTATGGTCTTCTGTCTGAGTCAGGTTTTACTGCCCTGGGACAGTTCAAAATAGTTATTACGGTGGCAGCCAATCGAAGATTAAGAATATAACTAAAACATGTTAGCAACTGCCTACATCTTCAAATGTCCTTTCTGGCAATTCCAAAAACAAGTTGGCAGTTAGCAATTCATCCTTGACACATTGACTTATCCTGCCAAGTTCCAAGTTTAATGTTGTCGCAAACAGGGCTGAGCTGATACTAGCCGATGAATGCATAAGGGTGTCAGAATAACAATATCTGTTTCAAGCCATATAAAGTTTAGCTGCCTCATTTGTCACTTGCCATCACGGAGTTGCCTCTGATATTTTATTGGACACAAATAAAGTATAAAAATATTTTTTTTCATTAACTTATTCACAACATATTTTTTCACTTTATCCCTTTGCTTTTTCAAAAAAAATGAGCTTAGTTTCATCTTAACCTCTGGGCATTTGGGAATTAGGTGCACTTCAGTAAGAATTTTGAAAGTATCCAGCACTTTTTATAGCTTACTGTCTGTGTACCACAAAGCAATATATTGGAGCTATGCTCTTAGAAGTCAGAGTCAGCATCCATAAGCTCCGCCTCCATTAAATTGGTCCGGGAGTGAATGGGTCCGTAGCCTGTTCTTCGGCCTGCCGGGACCCGGGCTACTTGGGCCAACCTCTCTGACAGCCCGTCGGTGAGATCCATCTCCCTGGGGTAGCGGGAAGATCCACTGGGCTGCCAGGTTGAGGCTGATGGAAGGCAACGTGGGCTGAGACCCAGGTCCTCTGGGCGGTCATTGAGGGTTAGAGGGTTAGAGAGCATGCTGCGACCACAGCTGTTATAACTGCTCTGGTATTGCGGGTAGGGACACCTCTCCTCACAGGACAGGGGGTGGGAGGGTTGGAAGTCTGGGTAGGACCCCGGCAGGACTTCCTCCTCCAGCTTCTGCTGTTCCTGCAGATTAGCGACCAGACTGGGGTGGCATGGCAGTTTGGGCAGGCGAGGCACTGAGCTGCGACCAAACTCACGCTGGCGATATGCCTGGTGGTCTACTACCTCCTCCACTGGGCGCACCTCCTTCTTCCTCTTCTTCTTCTTCTTTTTCCTCTTTATCATCTCAGGTGAAATCTCAGCCTCCACCATCCACAGCCTGTTCCTCTCCTCTGGAGGTGGCACTATGAAAAAAAAGAAAATAAGCTAGTGATCAACAGTCCACTAATGTAGAAAAGGGTAAAGAATGGAAAAAAGATGGAAGGAAAAAGGGTAAAGAATAAAAAAAGACAGACTAAAGGGAGGGATGATGAAACAGGTGATGTAAAATGTGGTGTAAAGGGTGTAATGTAAAAATGACAGCCTCCAGCTCTCACCTGGTGTACCAGTAGGAGTAACAGAGATGTCCTGGGGCAGGATGGCACCTCGCCTGGCCACCATCTTAGTCACATGCTGCGCCCAAGCTGATGACATGTCATTCGATGGCTCATTGAGCTCAAAATTGATTCCAGCTATGAATGAGAAAAGAACAACCACAAACTCCATTTAGAGACAAGTAAATCCAACATACCCTTAATGGCTTCCCACGGTTGCCTCTGTAGCTCCAAGCTAAACAAGCATGGCAGCCGCAGCAGCCTCACAGCTTACATGAGCAGAGTAATGTGTCATTCACTTCTTAGCTGCAGACATAACAGTTGTCCCTGACCGTGTAGCCTCTATCCCACAAAAAAGCAAATGTAAAATATTTTTTTAGACCAAATTTGAAAGACAGAAAAACACATATGGATCACATAAGGGAGTAAATCATTACATCAGCACACGTGGCGCCATTTTTGACATTACAAAAGTCAATTAAAAAAATTAAAATGCGTCTAGTCCTAACTAGGAAACCCAAAAACATCTGCTTGGCTAGAAACCTCTAAAGATAAATGAGAAATTTTGTGGGTGAAGCCACCCTTTACTATGGGGATGGCACAGGGAGCATTTAATGAATAATACACATAACATGAGGTATGAGCTCCACTTTAAGTAATCCAAATGAGACGTAGTCTTGTAGTTACAGTTAATTACCACAGGGTGGTATGCAAACATCACCAGACATGGCTTCCACTGTTTCATTTTCCACTCCGAATTGTGGACAAAATATCAAACATTCATGCCAGCGTAAGTCAATATGGTATGAACACTTAGTGCACTCTAATTTATCCTAAATGATCAGTTTAAGCTTACTCAGAATGAAAGTTCTGAATTATTTTTAATGACTAAATACTCACCCACTGGCCCATCATGGGACACTGTGTGCATGCTGAAGGACAGTTCCTTTTCTGGGTCCTTGTGGAGCTCCTTCCTCATTGCAAATGCCTTGGCAATCATCTTGCTCTTCTTAATCCTCTTGGGTTCATTGTCACTACGGCCAATAATCCTGCCATGGGAACACAAGGCAGGTTAATAAAGAGAGACCACAGATAAACTTTTCTTGTTAATATTGTTTTCTTATTTCTTTAAAAGGGACAGCACACATTAATGAATATTTCAGCTTTGCATCAATGTGAATATGCCAGATTTAGCCAGAAGGCTAATTTTCATCTGTAGTGCCCAGATAATTTGAGATGCTGTAATTCAGTTATAGTATTTGGTACCTCCTCAGCAGCCTCACAACTGATATTGACACTGTCTGATGGTCAGAACAGCACATGTTTAAAGCCATCAGCAGCTATGAGACCTTGGGCAAGATGCTTTCATTTTATGTCACTCTGGGGTCTTAAACCTGAACTAAAAACAAATATTCCAATATTCTGAATTGCTGATTTTATTTTCAAAGTTGGAAGGAAACATCTTCCTGTGAGTAAAATCCAAGTCACAGTGAAGAACCTAGGATTAACACTGCAAGTATACACACACAGGGGACACAGAAATAATTTGACTAAATGTACGCCTCTATACTTTTGAATGTTTGGGGTGAAAATCTCTAGTTCCTAAATATGTTTGGCAGGGACGTTCATTTGGTGTTTGCTTACTTGCACCAGGTCCGTTTCCAGATGAGGATGGTGGCCTTGGTCCAGACCCAGGTACTCATAGCGATTCCCGTCCCGAACATGGAGAACAGGTTGATTTTCTCCACCATCAGGCTGGGCCGGTTCTTAATGGTGCATTCTGGGATTGGCTTGTTGGTCTGAGAGGCGATTGTCACGTTGGCTTCACACCTGTTGGAAACATTGTAATGATGATCTGTTTCTCCGTCCCCACCATGCCACATGTGCCTCCCACACCTTCTAGCTATATGACTGAGGTACATTGAAATGCTGGTTATGGTAAATAAGAAAGTCTTTTACATGTTAGGGCAGGAGAGAGTGGTTTACATTTTTGAGGGTAAATTAATTCCAGTCCAGCCAGTGTCAACACGGTGGGGAAATAGGGCTGCATTCACAGCGGTTGAGCAGCGGTTCGGAGACTCCACAGCATCAGTTTGTGGATTTCTGTGTGGAGGGTTTAGCTATGGAGGAGTTCTGATGCAGGCAGGTGTAAACCTTTGCTACTGCGCTATGTTGTAAGAAAAGTAATTGAGCGTGTGATTAACTGAAGTGCAGCAGATCACTGGATTTCTGCCACCTAAAGAGGAAAGACGATAAGAAAAACTTACAGCACATATTCTCTGAAGCTCCTCTCCCATTCAGCCTGGTTGAAGAAGTCATAGAAGTGGCAGCCGAAGGTGATTAAAACAAAGCCAAAAGCGAGGAATCCAAATATACCTGGCAAGGAGAAACAGAACAACAAATCAGGTGTGATTCGCCAGACAAAGTGGAATAAAGTTTAAAATCATTGGGACAGTAGAAATTCTTATTTTTCTTGCTTTAGACAAGACATAAACTGGAGATATTAGTTCAGAATGATGACTCTATAAACATGGTATTTCTTCACCAAACCATGGTTTTCACCCTCACACTATTTCGCAGGTCACCACTGTGGTGTGAAATGGCGACAGATGACAGATGAGAGAACATACCGAGTCTCAGCATGGTCTCGTTGATTTTGCTGGCCGCTTTCTCACTCAGTAGTCCTGGGTGGTTACTTTTTATGGAAAACAAAGTCATGACACCTGAAAAGAGAGGTGTACTGGATCAGTCGGTGTCAGGGTGGGGGGATTAATTTGAGGAGCACTTGTCAGGAATCAAATGCTTGAAAGATAAAAATATCACCAAACTATGCTATTACTATAAATGTGTCCCTGGGTTTTAAGTTACTCACCCCGAATGAGGAAGTAGCCGCCGACAACAAGTACCACTCCAATGGGAGCCAGCACAAACCCAGCACGGTATCTGTAGTTTTTGTAGCCCACAAAACAGATCCCACTCACCGAGTCTCCATCCACCTGCGGAGCACCACACAACAGATCCACAACACATGAGAAACATGACAGTGTGATCATCTTCTCTCATGACTAGAAAATACTTTTTTAAGTCATGTTAAAACGTTGAACGGCTCCCTACGCACCTCAGCGATAGCCAGGATGGCCACAGTGAGGACGAAGGGGACAGACCAGGTGACCATGTGGAAGTAGGAGGTTCTGCCAGACAGCGGCTGGTGAGTGGTGCCCAGGGCTTTGAAGGACGTGTGCCAGGCATAGGTAAGCATGACAAACCAAATCACACCCGACATCAGGGAGTAGTACACGATGATGAAGATGGTGACACATGACAGCGTCTCTGAAGACCTGTAGAGAACAGAATGTCAGTGTGATTTTTTTTGGGTTACATTTTCTATTCTGGGAATGATTTCATGCCCTTTTCTGTCTTGAGTCCTGGTCAACGAACATTTTCTAAGCAGTCTCTGACTTCAGGCTCCTACTTACTTACTGCTGTACATACACTTACCTATACTACATATGATTTCAATACCCATACATATTTTAACTACTGTCTCTGATCTATAATGTATACACCATATTCATTATCATACACACAGTTGATAATTCTGTCTATCATGTCTCACTATTGCCATTACTTATTCTCAGCATTTCTGCTTTATTCAATAGTCACAGTAGAGAGAGACAGGAAAGGTAGGAGAGAGAGAGAGAGAGAGAGAGAGAGAGAGGCGATGACATGCAGCAAAGGGCCTTGATATGTGGTACACACTCCAGTAGTTGAGCTTCCAGGGCCCCATTTACTGTGTACTGTACTGTACTGTTACTTAGTGTACTCATATCCACCCCTTACTGTTTATTCTATACATATGCATGTAATATTACTCTGTGCTTTTTTCCACTTCTGGTTAGATGCTGAACTGCTGAATCTTCAACCAAGTCCAGTTGCCCTTGATTTTAACCTTTGTTGGATAACTATGACCTGGATGACTGAGAATCTTCATAGACATGCTGAACTGCATTTCGTTGTCTCTGTACCTGTACTCTATGCAATGGCGATAAAATGGAATCTAAGTATAACCTAATCTCATGACTGATTGGTTGAAGACATTCACTTACGAGGGCTCTCCAAGTCGCATGGTGTTGTCGCTTTTGCACACAATCTCGTCGCGTGCGCCGTCCAGGAACTGGGCCAGCCAGCCGATACTGCCCACGAAGAAACAGGCGTTGATGTAGAAGAGGATGACAGCTGGATAGCGGTTGGAGTTCTTCCAGTCGGCAAGAAATGTGGCCTGTGAATACGGAGGACATTTCAACAGAGGGTTAGAGAGGACTGAAAAGAGAAACATTTATCTACATAAAAAGTTCAATCCCTTGACTTTCTGATCAAACTCCTTGCCACAAACACAACACACTATGGGTGCTGTAGTTATGTCTCACCAGGGTGAAGAAGGTGCACAGGAGGGTGATGGTGCCAAAGTAAGCGATGTAGGCGTGCATGTCATTGTGCTCCTCCTCTGTGAACAGAGGGTTGTCACACTGGATACCGCAGCCCTCCACGTCCTTGTACCAACTCGACTGAATGTCAGTCTTCACCAGGGGAGCTTCACACTGGCCTGATGTGTTGAATTTCAGCTTCTGCACCTCATTCTGCACACAGAGGACGCAAGGGCAAAGGTGAGGGTCTAATTCAACATAGTCGGGATAACGTATAATAATTTCTCAGTTTGTAAACCCAGATAATTTGAGAAACATATCTGGAAGCCTTCTATAGCCCTCTAGCCACGCTAGAAAAACCAATGTGGCTACTTCCTAGTTGGCCCACACGACATTACATAACAATGAAGCTTACCGAACAGCCCACAGGGAATTGGTCACATTTGAGGAAGGTGGGCCAGCCTCTCTCCTGGTCCACGATGCTACACGGCCGACGCGTAGCCAAACACAGGCTCTGGCTGGGCAACTCAACTCGGCCATTCTCACATTTGGGCATATAGACGGCACAGAGCAAAGGCTGGATGACGGACCAACAGCGAGGAGCGTTCCGCAAACCTAGGACACAAAAGCAGTCTTAAAACATCCTGAAACACTCAAGTTAGACATGAGATGTACAAGAAGACACGGGCAGACTGATGGCGTTGATGGTGGTCATCATTACAGTCATTATACTAACAAAGTCCCCAAACCTGGACGGTGGAGATATGCACATACACATAGATGTTAGACACAGAGAGACGAGGAAATATGTAGATATGTCAGTTTGATTAGAATGGATTGGCGGACTGTGGTCATCTTCATTCACATCATTCTAACTAACTGTGTCTGCAGTTTTAAAACTCAATTAGTCGATCAATCAGTCAACACAAAATTGGTTAATAACTAATCGGCAAGAAGGTTTTCAGCAGCTGGCAACAATTTGATAGAAACTGTCAGATGCATTTTTAAACCTACAGAGCAACCTAATTGTTCATTTATAATATAATTATTGATACAGTTCTTTCCCCCATTTGCTGTAAACCATGCAGGAGCCAGAATAAACCATATCCAACAATACATGTGAGGGTCCTTAACCCAAAATGTCACCAAATTCAGGTTATCTGGGAGCCCTTGACACCTGTGAGGCAGCGACCTGGCTCTGAGGTCATTTGTGAGTGTTTATGCATGTGAAAGTCCTCTTGCAGAATATCTAAAAACCTTTTATTAGTGAGACCCTCCTATTGTTTGCTGGTTAACACCTATGAGAGACTCCCTTTGTTATCTGTAATGGCTTTTAACCCTTCATTTCCTGTTGAAGCTCTTTTCCTATCTCAACCCCTTGTACTTCACAATCCATTGTCACCCCAAGTAACTATTTAATTACAGGGTTTTAATTACAAGTTAAAATCCTGAGCCAATAAAATGGATTGTTTTTGTGGATTGTTATTATTTGATGTACAAATGTACAATGTTCTAATAGTTAATTAAGACCAGCAAACTCCTACAGGGTAATTATTATGGATTAATAGTGAAATTATAGTTCTTGATTATCACTTCAAAATAAATCACTCTGCTGATATTTATAATAATCCCATGTGTATTTAACGTACTCAGTATTTTGGCGTTTAATCTCACACTGCAACAAGTTGGATTCATCAGACCTCTACATTTACAACAGTTTTCTAATTTGATTATAGGATGCTTATCACTCTTCTTCTTCCAACCTATAGCGTTAGGCTCTAAAATGCATATCTGAGCTTTTAAGACTGATTAAATCTCACCAGACCACATGGTCAACTTCTCAAAAGCCTCTTCTTGGGTGCTGGAGTCCTCCGCCAGGATCAGAGAAGTGTGTGTGTACGGTAAAGGCGATCCCAGGCATGTGTTGTATTTAAGTGCCTCGCAAGTTGTGGTTTTCTTGCAGTTATCCTCAAATATCGTCCCGTTTGGAGACAACACCGCCCCGGTGCCCGAGAGCCAGCAAGCCGAGATGCAAAGCATCCCGTAAAATCCAACAATGGGGCTCCAACCCTGGGAAGACATCTTGGGAGAGAGATTCAACTGTGCGAAAAAACTGAGATTACTTTGAATTCTAGTGCTTCATTTATTCTGTTTCCCAAGCCACCCAAAGATAACGTTTTCTTCATCGGATGTCAAATACGTTTCCAAACGCGGCATGGTGAGGGAAATCAAAGTTTTCTCGCAGTCCTCCCAAACTGTTTTATCCTGCACTTCTCGGCCGATCCTTGTTGGACCTTCCTGAATTCCGTCATTATCCAAATTCCAACAGCTTGGGAAACTGTCCTCAACTCCAGAAAAAACGCATCCTCCACTTAAAACCATACAAAGCTTTCATTTGAAGCGTTTAAGGCTGAATATGAAAAACACACCAGGCCGAGAAAGTTGTGGATTCGCCCTCCCCCCACTTCCAAAAAACTTGCCATGAAAAAGTCTGGATCTGTGTAATAGGATCCTTAGCTCAGATGCACCACCCCCTTTTCCATGGCCCCCTCTTTTTTATGCTGGCAGAAAATCAGATGATACATTATCCCATATCTCTCTGGGTGTCCCAAGAAGTGATTTTTCTCCCGGTGAAGTGTCTGATCAGAGCTTTCTGAGACTGTGTTGGATTCACGAGTTGCAGCTCAGTGGCTGGTTGTTGTTTTTTTTTGTCTCTGGTATGCACATGGTGGGGGAGAGCCCAAGCAACAAAACCTGCCCTCCCATCCCCCTCTGCAAGTGGAAGAATGTGCCTTATGGCAGGCCTTCTGAAAAGTTTCTCATCTCAAGGACCCCCAAAACAACACAGACCCCCATCTCATATGAGAAGATATCTGTAGTTTGTGCTGAATCATACACCTGTAGGGTTTTATAAAACATGTAAAGAGTAGAGCTGATGTTTCTCAGTTTGACCCAGGTGGTCCTCAGACCTTTTGAGAATTACTAATCTAACAAAACAGTATATAGTTCCCCATAATGCAGCATCCATTAACATAAATATATTTAAAATGTATGTGCACTCAGAATATATTTCAGTGGGCTGTTGCTAATTCTTTGTTATGAGATTTTAATCTTCTTTGCTTAAGACAAAGATTGACATGCTACAGCTACAGAATAAGACTTAAGCAAACATATGCAGTTTATATATATATATATATTTAAATGAAATAAGCACAAGTAGAAGAAGAAATAAAAAAAATGACATTAAAGAGAAACATACATCTAGTACTGTTACTCCATGATACGTGTATTACATATGTTATAAATGTGATAATAAATGCAATATACCAAATCATAATATAAGACTTTCTAGTGAAAATTCATGGTATACATCAGAGATACAATCAAACACATGTAAGGGGATTTTTTTACATTTATAAATGAATTTTCTACTGTGTATTGGTGGATATTTGCCTTAAGATGATGACAGTAAGAAAAACTGAATAAAGATTTACAAAATGTTTTGAATAGTTCATACATGTTTCTATGACAGTAGTGTGCATTTAAGTATCTGTGTTTCCTTTGGGACATCCATAATTGACTGGGCTTCCTGTTGTGGTTAAGGTGGCTGCAGGACCTTTCAGAAATTGCTAAAAATAAAATATGTTCATAAAACACTAAGCTCAAAGACAGTCACATGATTTTATGATGATTTCACAAAGCTGTATTTGAATGCTCTTGGATATGCCAGGATACCACAAAAAAAATTCTGGTCAAATCTCAACCATGGTGCTGTTGTTATTGCATTAATTGGATAGTGCACTTGTGGTATTTGCATGGCTGCAGATGCTTTGTTTCACCCCTGCTGTTCTGAGAGTAAAACTGGGTTAACGCTGCTCCCTTGTCTGTGTGTGTGTGTACGTGTGTCTGTCCGGGCCTCCTTGAAATCCACAGCAACATGGCCGCTTGAGTGAGTCAGAGGCAAAAACCAGGGACCACACACAGAGCCCCGGAGCACAGGCCAACAAAACACTCTCACTCACTCACTCACACACACACACACACACACACACACACACACACACAGAGTGAGAGGCTGCAATAGGGCCACAACACAAGCTGCTGTTAGAACGGCCACTTTTTCATTATTCTCAGTTGCTTTTACTAAATTATAACATGTCACACCTCAGCTGTCCCAATTGCTTTTTCACTCCTTCATGCCACCAGATTGGTGACCCAGTAGATTTTGTTTTGTTCTAAAGGGAAAGTCATAGTGTGGGGAGTTTCTACAGCTTTAAACTAACATAGAAATCTCATGTTTAGATTGTGGACTTGCGCCAAAGGCTGTTAAACATCCAGGACTGTTTCTGCTCCTGAAGATTACAGGCATCAGGTTTCAGGCAGGGAATGTCCCACAACTCAGGTTTTCATTTGCCAGGCAGAGAAACAGGGTGGAGATGAGAAGTTTTGTTGGTTTATGCTTCATCCCAGTTACATTAAATCTTTCGCTGGGTGAAGAATGAAAAAGGTTCTTGAAAGAACCCAAAAGATTAGCCTCAAATTATCATGTGATACAAAGAGATTAAAAACTGAAATTTACAGCAGACACAAAAAGCACTAAAACATTTATGAGCATTAACAAACATTAACTTACAATGGCAGCACACTAAAGGCTTATACCTCACAAATCCAGTGGCCCTGCAGTCATGCAGCCTGTCAGCTGGCTAAAATGTGTGAAGGAAATGACATCATGTGCAGTGTGAGGTCTCATCAGGACAACCAAGAAGCCCAACATGGCCATTTTATTATAGAGGGACAGACCATTGGACATTACCTTTATAGCACAATGTCAAACGAAATACCTTAAAACCATGTTGTAAAAACGTTGAAAAAATTGTAACAAAAGCATTTCTGAGGCCTAGAGGAAATACTTATTACGTATTATACTTAATACTTACACATAGCCTTGTGCAAGTATACAAAACCACCATTGCCTTGCAAGTATAGGCTGTAGTGTTGTAGTACTTGAAACCTGTCTTAAGACCACTTTGATGGTCTCAGCCTCGTCTCGGACTTGACCACATTTGTACTCAGTCTTGTCTCAGTCTCGAACATAGAGGACTCGGGATTTTATTTCAAGACCAGTCAAGACCATAACTTTTGGAATATCAATAAATTGCTTTTGCATTGTCTGATTTATTTCTTAACATCCTAACTTTGATTGGATGTAAAACTTATTGCTTCAAATGCAACAAATAACACTTATTAACAATGTGTTGTTACTGTTAACGGCTGTCACCCCTGCTCGCCCCACTTACACGCACTCCAACAGTTTAATAAATGTTTGATTTAATTAATCTGAATCACAAATGAATTAACACTTAATTTTTCTATTTATTTTGTAGAGGAAAAGAGACTGAAAAAAGATTTTACTTAATTTAACTCATGCATTTTTGTTGAAAACACATTTTATCATAAGTTGTTCCACCTCCGATTTGTGTGGGGAACCGGTCTTGGACTCAACTTGGGCTCAATCCCTAAAAGTCTTGGTCTTGATAAACTCTGGTCTTGGTCTTGACTTGGTCTCGGTTTGGGCGGTCTTGACTACAACACTAATAGGCTGAACTTTCTTTTTGATACAGGTATTTCAACTACAAATCAAAAGTAAACATATTTTAGGGTGCAGATTGCAAATAAATTATTGACCAGTGCCACTAGCATAGATCTGGAGTTGGTCCCTGGGCACTGTACAGTGGCTGCCCACTGCTCCCTTAAGGGATGGGTTAAATGCAGAGAATAAACTACCTTTACCTTTATTAATAAAAAACGACCTCAAGCAAATGTCAGATGCATCTCACAGACACTAGCAGCTTTACTGCTAGACTTTCAAAGTCTACAAAAGGGTAGGTAAAGGATAATTTCAGTATTTTTAAACCTGGGCCCTATTTTCACATATTTTGGGGTCGAAAAGACTAATAGGTACAAAAGGTTTCAGACTGTTATACCAGGTGTCTGACAACATCATGGAAAAACCCTTTGTTTTTTAACAAGAAACTGAAAGGACGATTCTCGCTCTGAAGCCTTGTGAGAGGCAAGTTGTTGCAGGATATGCCGATGGAAACGAGGGAGAGGAGTTTCTTGTGTACGAAGAGGAACTGCTAGGAAGACTTGATTTCCTAACGTTAACCCAACACAACAAACGCCTCTCTCCAACTCGGACTCACTGTCGTCTTCCTGCAACTAATCCCATCTCACGAGATTAAATTAATATTTGTAGCATCAGGAATCCAGTTGAAACAAAACTCCCACTCCAATTGTGGGTGTTGATGCAGTGGATAAGACCCATGCCTTTGGTGTGAGAGACCTGGGTTCGAATCCACTGTGAGACACCAATGTGTCCCTGAGCAAGACACTTAACCCCTAGTTGCTCCAGAGGTGTGCGACCTCTGACATAGCAATTGTAAATCGCTTTGGATAAAAGCCTCAGCTAAATGAATTAATGTAAATTTGGCAACTTGACAAAAAGGGTATGTTAAAAAATTGTACATTATACTGATATCAGTTCTTAAGTAAAGGCCAATGATCCCCTTGCTTCTGCTTGGGTATTACTAACTACTGTATAAAGTTTGGTAAATTCAAGCATGGTCTATGTCCAGTAGGTGGTGACAGAGTACTATTTCTCCATCTGTTCCCTTTGTCCGTACTGACTTCCACCTCCATGCCAAGTATTTGAAAGCACATAAATGGTTTGTCCAGGTTCTTGCTTAAAAGAGTCTTGTGTTTTTAAGTCAGCGAGAAATTACTGAATGCTTAATCCCGGCAAAGATGACCGACAGAGAACTAGTATTTGTGGTTCCCTCCCCCCACCCGTTGGTGTCACCATGTTTCTGGGGGCCGGCCCCGGTCAGCTCCACGGGTCGGAGCGGTGCCTGAGGTTGTAGTTCTGGAGCTCGATCTGGTCTTTGATCTGGTTGATCAAAATCTGAGACAGGAGGATGCCGACCAGCTGCAGAAGAGAAAACAAAGGGCTCACGAGCTGGCGGCAACAGTCTCCTAGAGGACAATGTGTGTGTGTGTGTGTGTGTGTGTGTGTATGTGGGGTG